TTAATGGTTTCTAGTATTTAATCAATTTAAAACGGAAAACTTAAAGAAATAGAAAAGCTGAATATGAGTAACGAAGTATCGAAGAACAATGTATGTGATAAAAATATTATCTTTTTTTAATGTCCTTATAAAACGTAAAATAAAAGAATATAGTCAGCGGGCGAAACTTTTGTCGTCGACTAAATAATAAAATATGAGGTTTCAATAAGTTTGATTGCTCGAAAAAAGCTCTTGTTTTTTTTTAAACCAACAGATTATTTCTACGTATTGGCAATGCCCGATTGTAGTGTTTTAAAACCTGATACAAGAGAAACTTTCTACATAGCTGAAGGGTTTCTTCTGAATGTCACAAGCATGCAAAGAACTTTTCAGCTTTCAATAACTAATGGATAGCTTGAAAAATTTCTAAACAAAATATTTGACTATTGAACTATAAGTGAATCTTGAAAAGACTCAACAACTTTTTTGGAGAAAAAAGTCTCCAAATTTTATCAAATATATTGGAAGATACAGAAAATGATTCTGTACAATGTAGTAAATTTTTCGCAAACTATTGAGGCTCAGTTTTATAAAATCTATCGCAAGAAAAATCGCTATTTTTCCAATTTCCACCTTTTCGTCACAAAATGACTGTCTATCACAACTATGTCATTTTCTAATGGATTAACCGAAATTCTTCAATCTCGCGTTGTTATCCCGATCAAATACTGGATATTTACAGAACTTATTTGATGTAGATTCATCTTCAGAAAAAAATAAAACTTTTGTCTCTTCGGAAATTTTTGTCTTGAGTTCTATCAAGATTTACTTATAATTCAATAGTGAAAAATTTCAAGTGTATGTTTTAAAAGAATACAAAATTCTAATACATTGTCAATGTATTTAAATACGTGAAAAAAGACAGTCAAATACTTTTACATAGCTCTGATCTTTCTAACAAGAAAACTATCAAGTCTACACGATTAGTTATTATCACTTTATATTGAAAGCAAAACTAGTTAGTACAGAACTTTTGCACTACTCGTTGATCTCCGATTCATTGTCATAAATCATTTTAAAAATCAAAAATAATTGTTTTCTTGCGTAGTACTCTATTACTGAAATTGAAAAGAGCTAAACTATATTTGTTCTAACATTTTAAAGACGATTAAATCCACATTTCTTATAAATTCTATAAACTTTTATTTGATTCTATATTTTGATTGATTTTCTTATTCAATTGTCATCCCTCGTTTTGTTCTATGTATCTAAATTGCTGTTTGAATCATTGAAAGCCTTCTCTTGAAACTAATTTATTTTTCGAGTCCTGTACATAAGATCTCTTTCTTCTTTTGTAAATGAACGAATGTTTATATTTAAAAGAACCTTAGAATATAATAGATGTAAGAATCAATTTTTTCAAAAATTAACACTGTTGCTATATAACTCGTATTGGCAATGTTCGTAGAAAAACGTTTCACTTATCTCCTGATAAGACACACAAGATCTTCGGATATTTTTTTTTGTGACTGCTTATATGTCAGTATCTAATCATAAATAGCTGAATATTACATTTAGAAATTTTCTTATTAATAAAAATGTACGATTTCTTCTATTGAAAGTTTACGCTAAGGTATTGTTAAGAAATAATATTCCAATTTTGAATAAATTTTACAGTTAATTTATATACGAAATCTTTCAACACATGATTAAAACTAGTGTACTCATCTATTGTTTTAACACATACTTCATGTCAAATCGTTAATATTTAATTATGAATGAGAAATTAATAGGTTGTTCTTAAAATTGAATTATGTTCTTAAATATTTATCAATTTCTATAGATTCATAACTACTAAACAACAAGTCTAATATAAATTCTTACTTCTTCTGTATCATAAGAATCATCTTCAAATATTGTTATTTGTTCAATTTTATCTGTATTTTCCTTGTTTGATTTTGATATATTCTAGAAAAAGAAAATATTAAATTTTTCAATATATAACATTCTTATCTTAATATATTTACATTAATTTCATATTTGGGTGGGTCACCATATTGAAACGAAGATTCTTGACGATTAGAAAAATTCTGTAGACTACTCCTAGGGTCACTAATAGCCGACTCTTGATAATCGGTCATAGTAAACAATAAGGCACTTCAATAAGACACAAAATGAATATTACTATTAAAACAAGCCAAACATCAGTAACCATCTTCTGTTCTGTTTATTGCTTAGAAACAACCTTTACTTCTCTATAGATGTCGCTTTTATTATAACAAAACTTCATTTTTTTTTCTTTTCTTAAGAGCAAAAAAGACAACAAATTTTTCTCATTAAATTAATTTTAAAATTAATCTCCCAAAAAAAAAAAAAAGAAAAAGAAATTCTTCTATCAAAATTCCATAAAGCGTTCTTTGTCATTTGATTATGGCTATATTCAATCAACAAACACAACAACAATAAACAATCTATACATATATATTCAAAAGAAGAAAAAAAAAAAATGTTTTTTTATTCTTTTGTTTTGTTTTATTTGTTTGTATATGTTCATTAAAATATACATTCGTGTATTTGCAATTTTGTTTTTTTCTTGTGCTTTCCCGAACGTTCAAAATAATGACAACAACAACTGAAAGTTATCATACAACTTTTACAAATTCATTAATTGATAATTCAAATTCAGCAATCAAAGATGATGATCCATCATTAATTGTTGCTAATGTTACAATTGATGAATTAGTTGAATCATGTTGTAATGAAGTATTACCATCATCATCATCATCATCTAGTCAATTAAATAGCAGTAGTAGTGTTTCGCCAACACATCTTGTTCGATTTGTTCATTCACAATCGTCACTTGTTAGTCAGATAGATGAAACAAATAATAATAATATTCAACAAAATCCATCAAATTTAATTATATCTAGTCATGATATATCATCTATAAAACAACCGCCATTTATTAATGTTGTTAAACGTTTACCATCACCATATTCAACAATTAAACCTAAAACAATTATTGAATCAACAAATTCAATGTATAATACAACAAATTTATCAAATATAACAGCTAATAATATAAGTGTTAATAATTATAATGTTAATATTCATACAACAAATGTTCAACAACAACAGCAACAGCAACAACAACAACAATCTACACTAAATAATAATGATCATTTAATTAAAAAATGTAATTCATTTGATGAAAAACAAACAACAGAAATTGTAACACAAATATTAAAAAATATTAAAGAAGTTGATGAACAACCAACAACAACAAATTATAATATACATATTGATTCATTTAATTTTTCATCATCAATAAATGAACAACAATCATTTATAAATAAAAAATCACGTATTAAAAAAGAAGCAAAAGCTTTAACAAGAATAATTGTTAAAGATGAATTAACACAACAACCAATGTCACCAAATTTTTTACGTACAAAAAAATCAACAAAAAATTTATCTAATCATCAAATTGATAATGCACAAACATTAATAGAATCTATACCTGTACCATACGGATGGCAAAGAAGAATATTAGCTACAGATATTGTTGTTTATCTAAGGTAGAAACATTTTTTATAAAAGAACTTCCACAGATGTTTTTTTTCGATCTCAATGATATTTCTTGCCTATAGATATTATTGTCTATTTCAGAATTAAATAGACGTGGGTACTTCTTGAATAGCTTTTAAAGGGTTAATGTTATCGAGCTCGAGGTCTTGGCTTTGTAAAGAGCGAGCTCTAAGGCATTTATCTGTGTAACATTTGTTAGTATCAAAAGATGTTTTTTATGATAAACTATACCAAATTGTAGCCTGGATTGGTTTCTATATGTGGTAAGATGATCTTCTCGTCGAAGAAAAACATACCATAAAGATACAGAACTTTTACTATGTATATAAAGCGATCCGGACTACAATATGGTATAATTTGAGAGCGAAAAACATCTTGGTGTACAAACAATCATGAACAATGTCTTCGACTCTAATGAATGTTATATATATAGTCGTTTCAGAGTTCAATAATCAAAGGTTATAAAACAAGATGCTCGTGCGTGTTCATTTAACTTTGAAATAGTAATTCGTATCTATAGACAACAAACACCATTGAAATCGGAAGAGAACATTTGACGAGATTTCTTTGTGAGAAAAATCTCTAGATTATTATCATGGTAGAAATGTTCATGGTTAGCTTTTTTTTTTTTGGTACACTAACTGAGTGAAGTTTTCTACTCTCTAATCGGAATAACTATTTTACTTGTATTGTAATGATTAGATGTGCAGTATTTCGTAGTTCTTTTTTTGTGAGAATTGGAAATAGTGACTGGTTTTTTTATATGAGCTGAATTATCGAACAAAATGTGGATTCGAAGACTTTTCCGAGCCATCCGTTCTGTTGTTCGATCGAGATTCAGAAAGTTTGAATGTTTTTAGTCCAACTAATACAATACTCGATTCATTGGATTCTGTACGTCATTATATTGAATCGCCAACATCATGTAAATGTGGTCTTCAATGTCCGCTTATTATTGATAAGGTTTGTTTTCACACTAAAAAAAAAACTAAACGCAGCTAAACTGTATTTGTTGTTTTTGATATATAAAAATTTATTCTATGATAGGTATTCAATTTTGATCCAACGAAAAAATCAAAATCTTGGGAAGTAGTACAAGTTCTTGAAGGTACACATTGTCGACAAAAATCGAATATATTAGAAATGGCAACATTAACAAATTGTATTGATTCATTTTGTGAAACAGAACAAAAACCAGGTTTATATATAAATATTAAATTTTATTTTATTTTTTTTATTACTTTATTTTTTTCTTTAAATTATAGTTAAACGTCGAAAACGAATACATAATGAATCAACAAATGGAAATGTATTTGTATGTGCTTCAAATTTAGTTGGAAATAGTAATAATGAATCAGTTGTTTTTGTTAATAATACTGATCAATTATCTGGTATGTTGTTTATTTATTTATTTATTTTCTTTTAATTTTATTCTATTTAGAAAATGGTCAATCGATGACATGGACACCAGTACAACAAACAAATGTAACTCCACCATCGAAACGACCACGTGGTCGTCCACGTAAATCAACTGTTACATCACCAATTATAACACAACTTGCTGCTAAACCATCCAATGATACATATCAAACTCAACCTGTTCCATCATCAATACTTTCACCACCAGCATCTGTTTCATCAATATCACAAACAAATTTTGTCCATCGTAATTCAACATCGCCATCAACATATCATCAAACAAGTAATTTACGTCATATTAATGATAATGTATTGACTCCACCAATCTTATCATCAACAACAACAGATACAAATGTTATTGCACGTGTTCCATCTATATTTGATCAAGTTAAAACAACTACAAATGAATCAACATTTGCTGTATTATCAGGAGTACAAAATGTGTTATTATCACCTAATCGTGATTCAAATAATAATAATGATAAACGTTTACATGTCGATTCCAGTTCATCAGTTGTATCTACAACAGGCAAACAGGTATAACAAAGAATTTCATATCATACTCTCAAAAAAAAAAGATCGTATCGAGAAATCACATAATTAACGTATCACATACTAATAAGCTAAGAATATCATGAAAAAGACTCGATGTTTTAACTTTCTGGTGTGAAGTAACCACGTTTGCTATGGTCTCGTATTAGGGAAAATTTGAAAGGAGATAAATCTTGACGATAATAATTGCAAGCCTTTTTATTTTTCTCCTAATCTTCATATAAACCTTAAGTTTTTTTTAATTTAATTCTATCAAAAACATTTTTCTCTAGGTTACATTGAATGTAAATGCTCTAAAACCAGATTTTGTTCGTTCAACATCTGCTACTCCTAAGTCATGTTTATCATCATCAACAACAACAACCACAACATCAAATCAAATTGATGTTATATCATTAATGGGTACAACAAATCAAACTCAATTAGCACTTCCAAAAACGTCAACTGTTGTTACTGTACCATCAAAAACTCATGATGAATATTTATCAATAAAATCTACAAATGAACAAATAAATGAATCATCACAACCATTAATGATTGATTTTAATGATCCATCAACAACAAATTTTCTTTTATCAGCACTTGCATCAGGTGCTTCATCAGATTCAAATGCAATTGTTAATCATCTTTTTCAAAAAGCACAAACACAACAACAACAACCACAACCAATTACATCATCAACAACAATAAATTCTCCAACAATATCAATTAAAAAAAATTTACCTATTATTTCATCCGGAGGATTAAAAAATTGTACAGAAACAACGAATTTATTACCATCAACAACATCAATGCGTCAATCAGTTGTATTTCATGTACCATCAACAAATGATTATAATCAACAAACACAACAAATTATTTTTAATAATGATGATAAAAAACAACATCAACAAATATTTTTTATTAATAATAAACCATATATCATTCAACAAAAAATAACTCATGATCAATCATCACAACAACGATTAATTCTTACACCATCAATTGCTCCATCGAATGGTTCGTTTAAAATTTTATTTTAAATATTAAACATAAATTTTCGAGAACTTTTCAAATGAATTGATACATTGCTTATAAGTAGAAAGCAACAAGAATAGTACAGTCCTATAAGCGTTCGTGCCTACGCACTGTTTTTCTTCAAGTTGTTACAATTTTTATCTATGACAAGGTATTCATGAAAAATCGAAATACGAAGTTTCGACCCTAATTTTTGCTCATAGGTAGGTCTTATAGGTTTAGAGTACCCTGGATATGTTCGTCTTGAGATATCTAATATTTAAAAACAATCATGTGCGAAGAGGCAACGAAAGAAACCCTAGTGTTTTGTAGCATTCGATATTTCAAGAATAACACATGGTTTGTGGCTGAAATTTTTAAATTGGAATTTCGTACTTCGACTTTTCCACGAATACTTTACTAGAGATAAATAATATTTAGTGAAATTGTAATAACTTGGAAAAGGACAACACATGAGGACGAACCTTAATTGGCTTCTACTAGTATGATTAGGTCCATCGCTTATAAACTATTAACAAGTCCTTGTTTTTTTTTCGATACAATTTATTATTACATAGCTTAAAATGATGATTGAGAATGAATTACTATTCCAATGATAGAATATAGTGAACTTAAGTAGAGATCGTCTAATGTTTTCCATTAGTTTTATGGTACAATTTAGAAGTATTATTTTCATTTCATAGAAATTTGTTTATTTATTTTATACGTCCATATTGTTGTCATTAGCTTTTGTTTGCATTGTTTATATTGCCTACCAGTGTCCGATTGGGGTCAGGTCACGAAAAATATAGTTAACCTTGAGTCCGGTCATGGCATAGTCGGGCTGATTCAAGTCACGAAAAAAAAAAGTTGACCTCGGGTTCGGTCACAGTATAGTCAGGTCAGGTGAGGTCAAGTCACGAAAAAGTTGACCTCGGGTTAGATTACTAAAAAAATTTTTAGATTTTTCGGGTGAATTTGTAATCTGAACATTCTGCAAATACAAAATAATACTTAGAATATTTTCATCATTTCAAAGTTCGATAAGAGAGAGCACGGGAAGACTTAATAGAACACGATCTTTTCCTCTATTTCGACCACTTTTCTTTATTAACATTGAACGATGATACATAGCAAGTGCATTGTCTATGAAGGAAGAAGAAACGATAGAGAACTGATTGATATCAGAGTCCGACTTAGGTCGGATCGACCCCTGTTAGCCACTGTTATCTACTAATCGTTTTTGATAAAAATTTATCATTTATAGATATATCGCAATATCTGTAAACATGCATAAATACTTTTTCAAATATATCAGTAGCGTCGTTTTTTTTCCGTGCTCAACAAAAGTACTATTTTGATTAATAAATATTCATTAAACCTCATGGTTGCTCGAAACACAAAGATTTGTCCTATCTTATATTTTGTAGTGAGTCTATCTTTTTGATAAAACTTCAGATCAAATATCTAATAAAATTCTCATAGCTCAAACTTTTTTTTTTTTCTACTCATCATAACATTCTCGAATGACAATAATCTCAAATAAACAACGATTAAGAAATTTGAGAACGTTCTCTTGTGAGTTTAACTAGAAAAAATCCTAACCTAACAAAAGAACACACACACACACACAGTTCGATATGAATTTTTCTTTTCTTTTAGATACCTCTCATTCAAATCGAAATATTGTTCCTGTTAATAATAATAGTAATACATGTGTTCAATCAACACTTGATGATGGTGGCAATTGTCTTTTATTAAATGGTCCTGTTGAACCAAAAACACTTCGTACATTACTTAAAGGTTTAAATTCATCATCATTTTCCGGTGTTGATAATTTAATTGATACAATAAATCGTTTTGAACATACAACACCAATCATCGAACAAAATGATAATCTTTTAATAAAATCAATTCGTACAACAGCAAAAAAATCAACCGATAATAAACCACCAACAAAACGTCGTGCAGCAAAAAAAATCAAACAAGACGAACAACAACAACAGCCACAACAACAAATTCAAATTTCAATGCCACAACCAATTATTGTTGAACAACAACATCAATGGCAAACAGATTTTAATACATTTGATTTTTCAACATCATGGGGAAGTGATACAAATCTTAATTCACTTTTACTTAATGATGATTTTGATACAGCTGCTTCATTTGATGATGTTAATTTTGGTGATTTTGAACCGTATATGAATGGTAATAATAATGATATAACATTACCATCATTATTTGTTAAACCATTACCACCCGATAGTTTACCAAATCTTGATCATTTATTACCTTAGAAAACTTTATTTTCATTCTGCTTTTCTTTTCTTTGCATATTGTGATATCTATTATCTAAACATACATACTTCTGTCATCTCAGGATGCTTGAGTTTATATGTATATATGTATGCGTTTCTTTTGCTGTAGTTATGTAGCTCAAAAAAAAAAACTTTTTTTTTTTTTCTTGTTGATCTGAAACGTGTGTATGGAATCTTATGCTTTTCTTTTTTCTTCTTGCCTCTAGTCTCTCTGTTTCTTTCTCTCGCGCGCGCGCTTTATTTATATATTTTTTGTTGTTGTTTGTACAGTGTTTCTCTCTCTCTTTTGGTTTTTGCAATATCATGCACATCGAAAAAAAAAATATGTATGTTTGTGCCTTGTCTCCACTAGAATGATATTTTGTGTATCGAATATTTGTATAATGCTCATTTATTATTAATTGTTTTTTTCTTTTGTTTGTGTGTGCCGTGTTGTTAAGAATTTTTGTTTGCGATGATGATCTGTTTTTTTTTGTTTTGTTTTCTATTTACACAGACAAATGATTGACTCATTTTTGATTTGTGTGTATTTCAATTTAAGAAAAATAATGGACTTTTCAAATGTTTTGGAGATATTCTCTCGATTAGTTTTTTGTTTGTTTTGTTTTGTTTTTTGCTTTTCTACAGTCGTTTTGAAGTAGAATACGACATAAAAAGAAAACAAATTTGTTGTTTTTTTTTTAAACAGAAAGAAAAAGTTATTATTATTATTATTATTATTATTGTTGTTGTTGTTTGTTTGTTTGTTTGTTTGTTTATAGCTGAGAATTTTTTCTTCGAAGTGATTCTTGTAAGATATGCGTGGAGAAAAGAAGATTTTATCATGATTTATTTCTTGCATTTTTATTTTATTGTTTATAATTCTAGATGGGCAACGGAATAACAGTTAATAAAAAACAATTACCCGGTGTACCACAACCACCTGGTGCACGTAAAATAGTTGTTATTCCTTATCAAAATTGGATTCATTTTGATGCACGTCGTTTTGGTCATTTTAATCAATTTAGTACCGATACTAGTTGTGAATTATCTTCAAATAATAATAATAATAATAATAATAACAACAACAATAATAATAATAATAATACCATATCATCTGTTCTCCCATCAATATCATCAAGTTCATTTTCATCTCCTTCATCATTTGTCTCAACATCATTATCATTAACAAATGATTTTATTATTCAAACGAAAATACAATTTACATCAACATCAGTTCCATCATCATTAACATTTTCACCTAATAAACTAAATATTCGTAATAATAGTAATAATAGTAATGCTAATAATTCATCAACATCTACATTAGTTGGTTCAACAATGACTCTATCAAATTCATCATCAACAGTAACATGTTCATCAACAATACCATCAAATGATCTTGATTCACGTCGTTTACATCCGAAACCAATTTATTATGTTAATGGAAGATTTTTTAAAAGTTTAACACGTCTTGGTGATGCACAATTTATATTAAGTGAACATGGTGAAGATGATATTATATTAACTGTACCATCAAATATTGAACGTTATCGTACAAATGATAATGCTGTACGTGATCGTATACATCGTTTAAATCGTGTTATTGCATGTTGTGATGAATTTATTGTCTTTCAATTATGGAAAGGAAATAATGAAGTAGAAATATTTCTATTTGATCGACCTATACCAACGGAATTATCAAAAATAAAATCAACAACAACAAAATGTACATGTTTTCATCGAAAAACACGACAATCAAAATCAACATTAATATCACAACAAGAACAACCATCAAGTTCAAATACATTACCACCATCATCATTAATCAATGAATCAACAATACGCGTTAATCGACACAGTTCATTAATGCAAACAGCAACATTAAGTGCTTATCATACTGGTGAACCACAACATTCACCAATTAAATCATGTTCATTATTAAATAATAAAGAAAATCATTTAGATATGCAAAATGATGCATATGAATTTGTCGATAATACAAAAAAAGCTTCGTATTTAATTGGTTCAGCTCGATGTACATTGGTAACAGCTTCAGCTGCTATTGCTGCTAATAATACTAATGCTAATACTAACAATATAGCAATAACATCGACTACGTCGAGAGCCCGATTTGGGAAATCGGCGAGTCGGTGAGTAATTTTCTTGATTTTTACTAATATATGAATTTTTCTTTCGACATACGCAATGAATATAAGATGAAATTAATCATACAGATTCGTTCAGTTCTACAATCTGAATTTAAATGTTAAATATGCAAAATATAACTCTCATATTAAGCCTACGACGAATTTTCCTTAAGACTAGAAAAATCTTAAACGGGTTCGTGCCTGTGGACTTCTGAAGCTGAGTTATGATTGTTTTACTAAATTTTTAGACCCATTTTTAAGTATTTATTGAGAAATCAATAAGAATTTCCGTCGAAAAAAATATTCATTCGTCGATATATTGAGTTTTCAGCAAACAACTGCTGGCTACAGACATGCTACAATAATTGAGTTTACTTCTAAATTCAATTTCTCGACAAAAGAATGCTTTTTGCGACTGAAATTCTCAATGATTTTTCAGTACATACCTAAAAATGGGTGAAAAATTCAGTGAGATGATCATAACTCGACTTCAAAGATCCATGGGCACGAACATTATTAACTCAAATGATGAGTTACAGCTCGTGCAGTTCTCTCGTAAGTAAATATTTAGGAAAGTATCGAACTGAATATGAGAAGGGAACTTCACTAGGTGTCAAATTGATTTTCGACCTAGATGATAATCATTTGATGAGTAATAGAAAAGTCTAGAATGGTTTGATTTTTCGAGCCTACATTCTTGAGATGCTAAAATTCCACTAAGTTTATAACTAAAAGCTGTGCTCACTTGAAAAATCGTCTTTCGACTTTAAACTTTGCACAGACGAAGTTCTCTATAAGATTAGTTACTTGTGCAAGTTTTAAATTTTCTATTATTCTCGAGAAGCGATTTTACACTTAGAGAAATTCTCTCATAAGTTAGATATTGTGTTTTGATAAATTGCTTAACTTTTCTTAAAAACGCTATGCTAACAAAAGATTCTTTTTTTTCTTCTACATATTAAAAGAAAATTCTAATCATTTATTTAGTTCAACTATGGGCAATACACGTTCATATTCAATATCAAATGCTCATGAATTAGTAAATAATAAAAATCAACAAAATCATTTAATTGATGATTCTAAACATCGTTCAACACCGTATCTATCTTCATTAACATCATCATCATGTAGTTGTATGAATAGTGAAGATTCTGTTTTATTACCAGCATCATCTTCACCAACATTTTCTTTATCATTATCATCATCAACATGGAATAGTCGTATTGTTCGAAAACTTAATTCTGTAGCACATCGTTTTAATGCACGATCATATACTTGTTTAATATCACCTGATAGAACGAAATTATTAATAACACCTGATTATGAAGATAAACATTCATATAGTCATCAAACACACGAAGTAACTGTTATTTTTGATATAAAAACTTATGTGATACTTCGTATAACACCAGCTCGTAAGTTTAAAAGAGAAGAAAAACAAAAATTAATATTTTGTATTATTTCGATTAGGTTATGATCAACGATTTTCATTTGATCCACGTTATGGTCATTCACGTTTAGCAGAATTTGATACAGTTCGTGGTCAAATAACTGATATTAAAAAGGATCGTGTACTTGTTTGTTCAAATCATACATTGAAAACAAAAGTTTATCGAGTTGAATATACAAATGATGGACATCTTATTATTGTTTTATGCACACGTAAGATATTTTTTCATTAAATCATTTGAAAGTATATTTTAATTTATTCAATAGAAACTTATTATTACAGAAGGAAAATAATGCTTGTTATGTTTAGTTTTCTGATCAAATTCGAGTAGATAAAGAATAATGAATCATCGAAAGAGATTGATTAACAGAGATAAGATCAGTTCGGTTTCAGATATGAAAATTCGAACCAATCTTATCTCTGGTAGACATCAATTCGAAGCAAATTTCAATGAGTGTAATGCTTATAGATGTCAACATTTCTTAGAACAAAAAATAGATGTGATTAGTAAAGATCGATCAATTTCCAATTTAAAGTTTAAACTAATAGACCGAACAAACTGCTTGAACAGATCACATCCTATCACAAGATTTTTTTTGAAACATTTTCTCAAATCAGAACTGATTTGTTCTAATAGATCAGTTTCTAGAGCGGAATTATTCAAAAAATCTGTTTCTATTTTGAGAACGGTATTTTAGCAACAGAACAGAAAAGGTTTTTATATCCGGAAGCGTCATCCCCAAAATAGAACAAAGCTTTTATATACCCTGAGGTGTCATTCTTAAAAACAGAACAAAAAGGTTTTATATACCCGGAAATGCCATCTTTAGAAATAGAACAATGTTCTTTTGTCCGGAAGTGTCATTTCCAAAATAGAACAAAGGTTTTACATACCCCGAAGGTGTACATTCTTAAAAGTAGAACAAAAATTGTTCAAATTGCTCAGTCCCAGGAGCTGAACTGTTCAAACATATTAGTTCAAATTAGAGAGTATTTGCCCATAGATTCGAACTTGTTGACTTCTATTAATCATAATTAATATGTAAAATAGTCAAGTCTATTCTATCAAGTATTTATTTTAACCTGCTGCTTTTTTATCATATAAATGATACTGAATATTGTGAACATATTTCTATTTTGATCTGAAATATTCTTTTAGTACCCATATTTCAACGTGTAAAACGAAATTATTTTCTATATATATTAAATTCGTCCACATTATTACATACACGTAGTATAATCGATTATCGTGGTCCATTTTTTTCACCATTTATATTTACAAATGAATTTTCACTTTTATTTAATATTTATCCATCATTATCAAATTGTTGTTCAACATTAGCTATTTTAAAAAATATTGAACCATCATCAAATGTACGTCTTATTGAAGTTTATTCATTACCAAATACATGTACAACATTAAAAGCTATAACACGACGAAATATTTTACGTTATGTTGATCGAAAACAACTTAAACAATTACGTTTACCAGACAATTTAAAAGCTTATTTAGCTTATAAACCACAATTTGTTTAAATATATATAATTTTCTTCTTTTTCTTTTTTTTTGTTTTTGCGTTTTTTTGTCAATATCAGTTGTATGTATAAACATGTCACTTTCTTTTTGCTTGCAATATTTTTATTTTGTCTCTTGTAGTTATTTTGCCTTTGTTTTTATATATATTTTTTCCTTGCCGTCAATTATGTGCGAATGCTCTTTTTTTTCTTTATTGCATGAGTCATTAAATAAATTAATAAAATCCGTTGTAAAGAAAATAATTTTTATCTATATAAATATATATATATATATATAATGAGAGATTAAAGAGAAACAATGTTTGTAGAATAATGTCGACACCAACAGCACTTGAAGATTATCATAAACAGTTAATACAATATTTTCTACATGATGGTGCTTATAATGAAAAAGAAATGATTGATCTTTTAAGTGCTTTACGTGATCGATATGAATTAAAAATAAAAATTAAAGATGAAATTCGTACATTAACAAATGTTTTCTTACCATTAATTAATAAACATATTAATCAATATGGTATTGAAATAAAACAAGTTACAAGTGAAGAACATGAAAATGATATTTTTTTTGTATGCATACAAAATTTTAAACCACAGTTTGTTAAAATGGATTGTTCATATACAGAAAAAGAAGCAGCAATTTTTGAAAAATTATTGGAATTGGTTATAACGAGTGATGAAAAGTTAGTTGAAATTTTTTCTCACTTTTACTACGAAAAAATAAGTCTTTAGTATTGTTTAAAAATTTAATCATATGTTGAATACACTTTAAGGATTACCGAGAACTTTCTTTAAAAATTATTAGATTTAGTTAACATTGATTTTTCAGATCGCGCATCTCACGATTATCGAAGGAACTTCATTTCAGCGAATTCTTTTTCCTTTTTGCCTGAAATAGTCCGTTTTTTGAATTAAACTCTGTTATTAGCACTAAAACAGCACTTCTATAAAAAGATGATCATTTCGGAGAATTTTTTGATATATTGAACGTGCCATTCTTTTTTTTCCGTATAAAAAGTTCATGACTCATAGAAAATGGCATATTATAGGACTGAAAATTTTAGCACAAACTCTTCACTACGGCCCTCATATATTCTTAAAAGCTCTTGTGATGTGTATATATCTGGTCAAAGATCGATTTTTGATAGTGAGGATATTCTAAATAGCAGTCAATATGGCTGAGTGACTGCGCTATGACATACATTCGCTCCCGAAGCTCATAGATATGGGAAGCTGAAGTAACTGAGTGCAAGAAGTCTGCGTCACGCCGCCTTTCTATACAAAGCGACATCTAGTCACAGTTGTAGGGATGACATCAGAATATTGAACCTGTAGATAAGCAGTGGTTCGTACTACAAGGTAGCTACAAGACAGGGGTATTCTTTCTTCTATTGTAATTATATCAGAAGATAACAATTGTCTTGCCTAGTGAATTTTCATTTAGAATCTAGTCGTTTGTGCTTAATCTCATTGATACCTTTGCTTGTATTTCTCGTATGTAATATTTTAATGTCAAGATTTATAAAAAAAAAAGAAGTTCAAAAAAATAAATTCTAAAGAGTGAGTTCTATTTGTAAAGTCCAATAGGTACAATATCTCGTATAAAGTATTCCTATGAATATTCATTTGTAAAAAATTAGAATGAATAATATTGCCTTAACATAATCACGAGAAACTCTTATTAAGGAATTGAAATTGAAAATCACACTTTCAAATCTTTCTCATTAACAGAAAAAGCAATCTTTGATGATATTGTTACTTTTTTCATTCGATTACTTTTAATCTTATATTCATTTTTACATAGTCTAATTGATTAATCTTTAGTCTAATTGATTAATCTTTCAAACTCTATCCTAGATGTGTAGCACCTCGTGAAGTATTCGAAGCAGTTCTTGCTAATGATTTAAAAGTGACACAAAAGGAATTTGGTGAAACAATGACACGTCTTCATCATGATAAATGGATTGAAAGTGGTCCAAATAATACTGTTATACTTCATGCTCGAGCTATATTAGAAATGCAATCATTTATTATGGATACATATAGAGATTTGATTTACAATTGTCAAATATGTACACGTCTTTTAATTCGAGGATTAAATTGCTCAAATAGGTAAGTTGTAAAAAAAATATTTTCACATCTGCTATAGTAGCAGACAAAAGTCCTCCCACCCTCATCCAAAAGATCTGGAAATTCGTATGTGTTTACTCCACTAAAAATATAGGTCACAGACATGAGATCGCCTCAATAACTTAAATGCAATGAGAGTCATGATGGATATCGTCGATTTTTGCTTCAAACTTTTCTACAGGCAAAGCTTGCCTAAAAAGTTTGAGCTCGATTCATTGAAGTATTACTGAGTTTCGGTCTACAAAAAGTATCAGAAAGGTTTTCGTCTCTCGAATAGTCACATTAAGATGATCATCATTCTAACAAGAGTTTAAGGGCTTCAATGAAATTAATAACATGGATAGCCGTAAATAATGAGTGCTCAGCTTTCTTTTCAGAATTATAAAGTTCAAAGGAAAAATAAGTACTATCCATCATAATTCTCGTTGTCTTTAAGCAATTAGAAGAAGTTAGTGCGTCTGATCTACGTTCTTAGTGGATTGTGTGTACAAAAATTTTCAGATCTCAAATATCTATGGTAACTGAGATCTGTTAGCGGAGAGACTTTTGTTCACTACTGTAAATCAAAATTATAGTTCATGTGATATTCATATGCATCGTTCATGTGCTGCTCGATATTTTCTTCGATTATCAAATTCGACTAGCAATTCAACAACGAAAAAAACTGCTTATCCATGTCCAGTATGTAAACAAGAATGGAATAAAAATGATGTTACTAGTATATTAAAAGCAAATAATGTCAATGGCGAAAATGATACTGAACAATCAAATGAAACAGCTCATAAAAAACAGCGAACATCGAGAACAAATAATCATAATAATAGTACAAATAATCGATCTATTCGTTCAACTCATCGTCAACTTATGAATGAGAGTGATGACGATGATGAATAATGAATAAACTAATCACATTCTTGTTTGATATCAGGTGTATATGTACATTATTATTTTTGTTGTTTTTCCTTATACATATTAAACGGAATATTAAAAAAATATAATTGAACATCGAAATTTTCGTTTTTCATTGTAAATCTAGGTTTATCTTATTCATTTAGATATAATTATGCTAAAACCTATATCATTTGTTCGAGGTTTTCGTGTACCAAAACAAAAAGATATTGATGAAGCACTTGGTAATGATGCTTCATTTTCGAATGAATTTAAAATGTCATTTAATTCATTACCACATCCAACAAGTGATCTAGATTGGTTAGCAAATTATAGAGAAAAAGGTCAAACATATACACAATTTCTTCGTCAATGTCCATTTTTTGATGATAATCATTCATTACAAAAATATATTTATTTAACATTACTTGATAATGATGATCGTTTATTATTATTAAATATTGATCGTTTAATTGATTATACAAAACGATTTTTTCAAATGGAAATTAAACTTCTTCCTTTATTTACAAATATTAATTGGAATAATACAAAACATACATGGATGTGTAAGTTTCTCTTTTTTTTTTTTCATATCTTTATTTAATATTTTTTATTTGTATCAGGCACAATGAAAGGTAGGAATGATTCAACAAAAGAGATAACCCTTCGTACACGTTATGACTCAACAAGTGGACATTCACAAATTTGTGTAGATAATGTACTTAATCTATTAAAGCGTTCACTTCCTAGTGATGCTCGTTGTCTTGTTGCAATAACTTTGCATGATTTGTATTCAGCTGAATCTGATTTGTTTATTGCTGGTTTATGTCATGGAAATTCAAGTGTAGGAGCTTTTTCCTTTTTTCGTTATGATCCTCGTTTAAAATTCAGCGAAGAGTTTTGGTATGATTGGAAAATTAAAAAAACTAAATCAAAGTTGATGTCAACGATTATATTAATGCGATCATGTCGTCTTCTTACACATGAAATAGGACACCTACTTGGTATTGATCATTGTATTTATTATGAATGTTTAATGAATGGAAGTGGACATTTAGAGGAAGATTTTGCTCAGCCATTGTTTTTATGTCCGATTGATTTGAGAAAATTATCTCAATTAGCAGGTTTTGATATTATTGAACGATATGAACAATTGTTAGATTTTTGTACAGAGAATCGATTCATAGATGAAATCAATATATTAAAAAAACGTTTAGACATATTGAAGAATGAAAAACGAACGGTGCAAACAAAAAAGAACAAGGATTTCGATCATGAAACAACACAAAAATCTAAGCGTTTGAAGAAAAAGTGATGCAAAAAAAAAATAAAAATTTCAATAATAATTATCATTTTAGCAAAACATATATATTTTGGGTAATAATATATTTAATTTTCTAGATAGAGAAATTATTTACATAAATTAATGTTATTTCGAATTATTCGAAATTCTTTCATTTCAAATATTCGTCGATCAAGTAATTTTGTTCGAATATTTGAAGTTGGTCCTCGTGATGGTTTACAAAATGAAAAACTTCAAGTACCAACATCAACTAAAATTGAATTCATTAATCGTTTAAGTCTAACTGGTCTTAAATATATTGAAGTAACTAGTTTTGTTTCTCCAAAATGGATACCACAGATGAGTGATCATGTTGCAGTACTTGCTGGTATTCATCGAATACCTGGTGTTATTTATTCAGCTTTAACACCAAATGTTCAAGGTATAAATAAAGCTGTTTCATTGAGACAAAAAGGTGTTGATGAAATTGCAATTTTTGCTGCTGCATCAGAAACATTCTCTAAGAAGAATATTAATTGTTCAATTGAAACATCATTACAACGTTTTAATGAAGTTGCCAAAATTGCACATGAACATAATTTACCTGTACGTGGTTCGATATCATGTACTATTGGTTGTCCTTATGAAGGAAAGATTAAACCATCACAAGTTGTACCTCTTGTTGAAAAACTATTAGATATGGGTTGTGTAAGTTTTCAATTGATGATTAAAAAATAGAATGTCTTGCCATTAAACAAGGTGCAATCTGCTTTCTAATAGTATGAAATTGCACTTGCTGATACAATTGGTGTTGGTACACCGAAATCTATTCATGATTTGCTTGAAGTAATCTATTCAAATGGCATTCCATCGAATAAATTAGCTATTCATTGTCATGATACATATGGACAAGCTATAGCTAATATTGCTCAAGCATTAGAAATGGGTATACGTTGTATTGATTCAAGTGTTGCTGGTCTTGGTGGATGTCCATATGCTAAAGGTGCAACAGGAAATGTAGCAACCGAAGATGTTCTTTATTTAGTACATGGACTTGGTTATGAAACTGGTGTTGATCTTAATCGATTAATTGATGTAAGTCAATTCATAACAAACGTATTAAAACGTGAAAATATGTCGAAAGTAACATGCGCTTTTTTGGCGAAAAGACAAAATTGAATTTGCTTTTCTTTTTAATATGGAAAACAAGTTAAAATGTTTATTTTTTTATTTTTTGTTCACTTGGTATTCTAGATAGAGAATAATGACATCAAAAATACTTGAATTTCCTTTACTTAATCCATGGCAACATTTTACGATCTATGGTACACATAATGTAAGTGTTCAGTATGATGAATAAATAAACATGTGTATAAATGTTCTTTCAATAGCGGTATATTGTTGTGGCAATGACCAAGAATAGATCGAAATGCCGTATTCTTAAAATTGATCGTATGGATCAAAAAGAATTAAATATAACTGAAGATCAAGTAGGTTTATTTTTGATTCGAATGATAATTTTTCCTTTTTAATTATTTATTCTAGCATGAATATTCACATGTTGAACTTCGTCAACTTCTTGGTACTATTGAAATAAGTAATAGTCGAGTAGGTGGTTTTAGTAAAACAATACATTGCCATGGAATTATCGGTAATTAAAGAAAAGGGACAACAACAACTCGATGAAAATAAAAACAACAATTATTTCTTTTTGTTATTAATTAGGTTTTATTAAATTTCTCGAAGGTTATTATATGATTGTAATAACACGACGAAGTCAAGTAGCACGAATAGGTTATCATAGAATATATAAAATTGAAGAAACAGCTATGCTAAGTATAACAAATGAAGACATTAAAAAAATTCATCCAGATGAAAGCAAGTAAGAATAATTGATTCAATATGAATTTAATTCTATTCTAAATCATTTTGTTCTTAAATAGATATCTTCGTGCATTACAAAATCTTGATTTAACAAATGGATTTTATTTTAGTTATACATATGATTTAACACATACATTACAATATAATTTTATTGAACAAAATAGAGAAAAAAAGAATTTAGATAATGAAAATTTTTGTTGGGGTACACG